TATCAAGGCTCTGTGTGATTATTAATACTAGACCTCAATATATGCTACCTTATTTTGTTGTTGCCCTCAAGTCGATTCTGACTCCTAGCAACCCTGTGTATAGCAGAGCAGAACCCTGCCCGGTCTTCTTGCGACATCCTCTCACCTTCCGGCGCTGCATCAGGCAATGCTCTGCTGCTATTCCTAGGGTTTTCTTGGCCAATTTGTTGGAAGTGGGTGGCCAGGTCTTTCTTCCTCATCTATCTTAGTCTGGAAGCTCCACTGGAACCTGTCCACCATGGGTGACCCTGCTGGTATTTGAAATACCAGTGGCATAGCTTTCAGCGTCACAGCAACATGCAGCCACCACAGTATGACAACCAACAGACAGGTGGTGTGGTCCCCTGACCAGGAAACGAACCCCGGGCCACAGTCGTGAGTGCACCGAATCTTAGCCACTAGACCACCAGGGCTGGCACCTTACTCATTTCTTTATAGCTCTTAATTGCCCTGCTAGATTGTAAGGCCTGTGAAAGAAGGGACTACATCTTACTTGTCTTTGTAGCTTCACGGTCTTAGGCTCCCAATAATGTCTGAAGAAAAATCAGTGAAAATGAATGCCTTGAATGGCTTCGTAAGCAAAGGACTTGCCTGGGAATCTTAGCACAGGTGAATTGTATAGCCTTGAGCCATTGCTTTGTTCCTAAAACAAACCTGATTGATAATGTCTTCCTTCTTTCCTATAAAAGAGATGAAATTGGGTTATACATAACATTTTGAGACTTTTAGAGATAGAATTACATAAGGCACTTTGCCTCTCAGCAGTTGCATAATTTAGTTAGATGACATCTTGTGCTGGAGTCCACTTTACTGTGAAGACTTTATTGCAAGCCTTCTTTTAAAGAAAAACTTAATAAATGACTTAGCCTTTCTGGTGATTTTGAAGGGTTTAAGAGATTGCAAATCAAGAATGTATCGGAGGACCAATTTAATTACCTGTCTCTGCCACCAGTTGCTCTATTCATGACCCTCGAGAAAGTCGCTTCTTTGCTCATTTTGGCTGCCCCTTCCAGGGTGTTGTCGGAATACTTTTTACTGTTGAATGAAATAAAATCATGGAAATACAGCATTCTAAGCAAACTTAGCACCAACAGTTCCTGGCACATAATAAGGTCTCAGTAAGGAATAAATTAATGGATCAATCAGTCCATCCATTTCCACCGCTGCAGATTACTGCAATAATCCAGCCAGGTATTATTTCCCCAGCCTCTGCTGTAATACTGCCAGTGGTGGAGAGAATTCACTCCCTCTGAAGGCCACTCAATTCAGTTGTCAACAAATTTAATTACTGTCAAATGGCACCTTATACTTCTGTGAGGCTACTCTAATTCTACTGGGCAGTTAGTCACTTCTGTGCTGCGTTCCTCAAGCATCTTAGTCATCCCTCTGTTGTAGGGTTGATCACATGGTACATTATAATGCCCTGTTATGTAATACCTGTTACATCTCCCTTTCTAGACTGTGAGTCTTATTTTCTTTATACTCCCAGCTTCTAGCATAGTACAGAATGGACAAAAGACTGGGTGGAGAGGGACAGAGAAAATGAGAGGAAAGAATAAATAATAACAGGGAGCATACATATTGATTGCCAACTTGGTGGTCTTCTAAGAGGGACGTACTCACTCCAGGAGGTGTGTACCAATGACAATCCATTGAGCTTCAGGAAGAAAATTTTAAAACTATTCCCATTTATTTTTTAAAGCTCAACGATTTTAATTTCTATTTTCTTTTGGTATATGTTTAATACTATACATACTGTTTTAATAGAGTTGTACGTGTGTTTAATTTATACATAAATATATATTGGAAGGTAGTTACTCAAATATTTTCTGCTAAAAGTGCAAATCATAAGTTTGGAGACCCCTAGTATAGCTGTTTGTCAGGTACTATGCTAAGCATTTGATATACATTATTTCATTTAGTCCACAAAAAATCCCATGAGGTATATGCTATGGTTCCTATTTTATAGGTGAAGAAACTGAGGCACAGAGAGGTAGGTAATTTGCCCAATCACATACAGCTGGTAAATGGTGGCACTAAGGCCCAGACTCAGATCTGTCTGGCTTAACCGCTGTCCCATTCTATCTTGTTTTTCTGTCCTAGCACCTAGGGTTGTACCTCAGGCACAGTACAGGCTTGTGGATTAAATTAATAAATTAAATGGATAAATCAATCAAAGTACATATTAAAGCTTTCTTCTTAAGAAAAATTGTGAAAAAGAAAATAAAATTTCCTTTTTCATTGTAAAAGCATGTATTGTCAATGACAAGCCAAATGACATACCTGTGTGACACATTAGAATGTTTGGTTCCATTTTTTTGACAGAAAAACTGAAGTGAAGGACAGATGTTGCTTGTTCGCTATTGAGCCTGAAGTCAGGCAATTGATCTCCTTCATGTCTGATTACTGAACTACTTTTTTTTTATTGAGATATAATTCATATACTGTAAAATTCACCCTCTTAAAATATACAATTCTGGAGTTTTTAGTATATTCACAATATTCTGTAACCATCACCACAACCAAAAGGAACATTTACATCACCCCAAAACCTCACACACATTAACAGTCAGTCTCCATTCCCTCTCCTCCCAGCCCCTGGCAACCACTAATTTACTTTCGGTCTTCATGTATTTTCTTCTTCTGGACATTTCATATAAATGGAATCATACAATCTGTGACCTTTTGTCTCTGACTTCTTTCACTTAGCATAGTGCTTTCAAGGTTCATCCATGTTGAGCATATATAAGTACTTCATTACTCTTTATGGCTGAATTATATTCCTTTATATGGATAAACAAAAATCCATTCATCAGTTGATGGACATTTAGTTGTTTCCTCGTTTTGACTATTATGAATAATGCTGCTGTGAACATTCATGTACAAATTTTTGTGTAAACGTATGTTTTCAGTTCTCTTGGACATATACCTAGGAGCGAATTGCTATGTTTAACATTTTGAGGAACTTTCAAACGTTCCAAAGTGGCTGCACCATTTTACATCCCCACCAGCCATGTATGAGGATTCCAATTTCTCCACATCCTCACCAATACTCGTTACTGTCTATCTTTTGTATTATAACCATCCTACTGGATGTGAGGGTATCTCATTGTGCTGTTGATTTGTATTTTCTAATAATGATGTTGAGCATCTTTTCTTGTGTATATTTTCCCCCAACTATTTCTTTTGAATTTAAATTATTTCTACTTCTCTTTTTTTTAATGTTTTTTATTGGAATGTAAATTTTGTTCTTCTTCGTGATATCTGTTTTGCCCCAAGAACTCTCAAAGCATATTAAATACTCATGAAATCTCCTATTAGAGATTGCATGGCCTCTCAGGGTGCCAAGCTGCTGGAGCCACGAACTGTAAGAATTTAAGTGTGTTTCCACCAGCAATTTTCCAGAAAATATCCACATCACATTATTAGATCACAAGCTTTCATTACCCCCAAATTATGATGATGATAATGCTTTATTAAAAAGCTTTTAATGTCACAGGAATGCCGAGAATTTTTTTCAAAATTATATTTTCTCAACTTTTTACATCCCTATGAGGCAAAAAAGAAGCAAGAGAAAGCAGTAGCTATCTCAAAGGGTCCTCTAAGAAAGTAAGTGTAGAGGTTTGTATATCTAAAAAATTCTACCATGTCATGGAAAAAAACCTTGTTGAGCACAACCAATGTTTCCAGATATGCAAGAAAACTTCAAAATTGGTTTTAAATTATATGTGATCCTGGATGTAACTCACACTGCTCATACGTAAATTTTAGCAATGTTGAAATTAACATTTGCTCTCAAATTTGGTTGAGGCCAGAGAGAAAGGAAAGGTTTTAAAAATTCCGTATGCCAATTTCTGTCCTGTACATTGAAAGAATATTTGCATTAGCCTCTAAAGATTTGTAGTAGTATTCTTGAAAAAAAAATGTGCCTGACAGATTCTGTGCAAAGTCCTTATCAGTCTAAGTGTCTGTTGCAGCTGCAAGGTCTTTCTGGCTGTCAGACCTTACATGTTCCCATCTTCCATTCACATTGTATTTGATGGCTTCCAATAGCATTAGTCATTTCAATCTTACTGTAAGTTGAATGTATTTGGTCATAGTGTTCACAATGATGAAATGCATCAATTCCCTTGTAAACTGGACCTTTTTATGGAAGGTGATTTTTCTTTTTAAAAAAATTTCTTTGAATTTTTGTTTATTTAGTCAATCCTCAAATACTGGTTGAGGACCAGACATGGGAAATACAATGGGAGTAAGACTGTTATGGTGCTTGCCTTTGTAGAGCTCATAGACTACCTGTGAACTCCAAAAACAATTACATAACTGCAATTGTGATAAATGCTAAAAATGAACACTTTAAGATTCTATGAGGGCCGGCCCCATGGCTTAGCAGTTAAGTGCTGGCGCTCCGCTGCTGGCGGCCCGGGTTCAGATCCCGGGCGCACACCGACGCACCGCTTCTCCGACCATGCTGAGGCCGCGTCCCACATACAGCAACTAGAAGGCTGTGCAACTATGACATACAACTATCTACTGGGGCTTTGGGGGAAAAATTAATTAATTAATTAATTAAATTAAAAAAAAAAAAAAGATTCCATGAGAGCACATCTTGTGGAAGAAATGACCCAGTTTGTGGCTGTCAGAAAAGGCTTCCCTAAGGAAGTAGCACACAATTTGGGACCTAAAGGACCCCTAGGAGTTAGCCAGCACACGGGCACAGGGGACTAGCCTAGTTTGATGCTTTTGAGGACCTTAATGAAGGACAGTGTGTCTGATGTGTGAGGAGCAAAGGCAAGGTAGGTGGGGTAGGCGTTGTATAAAGGCAGGCTAAGGATCTGAGCCTCCGTCAGTGGGGAGCCATTGAAGGGGTCAAGGCTGTGGAGTAGCATTTGTTGGTATCCTGTAAAATTAAGAAAGGCCAAGTGACCCTTTGCTCTGTCACTTTCTTCTGTCTTGGTCAGGAATATAACTGGAGAAACTATCAGCCCAGCCAGATGAGTGAATCCGAGTTGCAAATGCTGGCAAGCCTACGGCGGCAACAGAATGAAGAACTGGAGGACGCTGGGGCTTCCCATGGCCTGAGTGCATCCCAGGTTGACAACTGTAATGTCAGCATAAGTAGCAGCAGTGATGACACAACCACCTGGAACTCCTGTCTGCCACCCGTGAGTCCAGGGCTTTGTGTCTTTGTTTATTGCCTTAATGAGAGCAAGCTTCTTTCTAACAAAACCCAGCCTGGCCTGGGAAAACTAGAGCCAAAATGAGAATACTCCCTATGAGAAATATTCAGAGCCCATTCTGAAATAGCGTTGTAGGTCTGGGGGCATTGTCTTTTCTGAAATTGTCTTATTTACCTTCAGATAATGTACGTTAATTGTGTGGTGATATATAAAACCATACTTTGAAAGAAAAAAGGATAATTTTACTATAGACTTGGGGTATCCCATTGCATCCCCAGCTCCTAGTATAAGCCCTGGCACATAGAAGGGGGTCAATGTTATATGAATATGTGTTAAATGAATGAACAAAAAGGAAGAGACTATCAATATACTAAGTATTGATTGAATATAAGGACAGAAAAGAAGCTTCTGTAGAAGTCACCAGATGTTTACTGACTCCTCCCTGTGTCTCAGGGCCATGATAGGCACTGCAGATGGTTCAGCAGCTCATATTTTCCTGTGTGTTTATACAGTTAAAGCGCTTTTAAATATGGCCCATCATCCTCACCATGGACCGGCAGAGGAGTCGGAGCAGGTCAAAGTCTTCCTGTTTTTCAGGTGAAGAAGCCAAATCCTGGGCCCAAGCTTCCACACTTGGTCATTGGTGGAGCACAGAGCAGAGCCCAGTGTTTTGACTCAGTCCATTCTCCACAATACTGTCCTCAAAGATCTTATGGCTTACTTGGAATGACAAAGCAGGAACATCAACAGAATAGTCCTACACAGCACAAGAAATGTCATGAGGCAGAATAATAAAATCATTATTATAATAATGGTAATCAGAGCTACCATTTCTTCAAGCACCTAGAGACATTTTAAGACTTCTGTAGGCCCAAGGAACATCTCCTTATGAGGCCACATTAAACATCAAATCAGACATGTTAAAATTCACTTTTATCCACAGTAAATATAACTTTTACTTTATAATGTTTGAAAAGAAATATAAAATTATGTAACTTCAATTCATGTTTATGTAAAATTATATAAAGGTTGGGTTCAAGTGTAGTTGACAGTGGATAACTTGTGTTTTAAGTGTTTAATTAAATATTTATTAATTTTGCAATTTTCTTTTTGTCTTTTTAAAGCCAGTTTTTTTCCAGGTCTCCACCATCTTTGTAAATCTTAGAAATCTCGGAGGCCCTGGCACACGTGTTATCTAGTTTACTCCTTACTGCTGTCCTGTGTGGTAAGCACTATTGAGTTCTCATTTCCAGATGAGAAAATTGAGGTTCTTGAGTAAAGTGATTCAGAACTAGCTTGGCATGAACCCCAAGTCTGAGCTCCTAAGCACCATGATATGGTGACTTCTTGATATGTGACTTAATTGTCAAGTGAGTGCTACCCATATCCAGCAGAAGGTGAGATTTCTGCTCTGGAGAGAACTTACAAGTCTTCATGGAGGAAGAATTCAAATTGTCTCTCAAGAGATGTAGGGGGAAAATGATGTTAATTTTTCATTAGTGTTCTTTATCCCCACCTTGCCTACTCTCCAGGTTTCTCTTGCCTTAGTTGTGCTTTCATTAAACTGAATAATCAAGCATGCATAATACCTCCAGCAGCCGTGGTGCCAAAGAGTATCTACTCATTCAGCAAAAATAGACACGTGCTGGTTCCTCACAGTATCCTAGTAGCCAGAGCTAAGAACATAAGAGTAAGTTGCAGATTTTTGCCAATGCAATTTACAATGGAATTGAAGCACTGCCTTTCTTATAAAACATTCCTCAGCAGTCACTTAAACTGAAAGTAAGAAAGAGAACAGTGGCCTCCTGAACGAGCTCATTCTGTCATGAAGTAGCTCAGAGACCAACATTACAAAAGGCAAGCTGAGGAATGATTATTTATGAACTGAAAACACTGAACTCTTGGTTGCCCTGGATACCGTGTTCTCATCACTGGCTTGTTCTGGCAAGGACTGAAGTCCTCATGCATGACAACTACTCTGCTCTGAAAGTATACGGCCAAAAATAACACCATTGGTAATGAACTTAATAACCCCTCTATTTGACCAAATGAGAAATTGAAAACAGTCTATTTTTTAGACAGAGAAAATAATTGAAAAGCCTACCTTTGGTATTCCTAAGATATGTTTATTATTGCATCAAATTCAGTCTATTTCAATATTGGAACTATCACCAAATGGAAAATTGCATTCCTTAATGAACTCGGCATCTTGTTGCTCATATAGAGTTTAAATAGAGCAATTTACAAGAATCATTGTGGTATTTCTGAGAGCTCATGCCTTTCTCTTTATAAGTTATACAGGGACAATGAAAAAGAAGAAATGAAAGAATTCACAACTTTATTTATCACAGTGATATCCTGCTTGTCTTGTATCTCAGTGATGGCACCACCATCCACACTGACATTCAAACCAGAAATTGAAAGACATCTCCACTCCCCCCGCTACTCCATTTTCCATACCCACTTGGTCTCCAAATCCTGAGAATCCTCTCTCCTTTGTATGTCTTAACCCTCCCTACCTAATACTATAGCCACTTTATTTTTCATCCAAATTCCTTCAGTAGTCTCCTACTCTCTGTACCTCCAGTCCAAGCACCATAGCCTGTCGGTTAGGAGCATCTGCTCTGAAGTCCAATTGCCAGGGTTCAAATCCAAGCTGTGATCTTGTAAAGCACTTGGCACTGTGTCTGAGACATCAGAATCATTTAATAAATTGAGATTAGTTGTCTTTATTATTTACACTGTGATCTTTCTAAAGCCCAGATCTGATCTGATCTCTGCCCTGCATGACGCCCTTCCGTAACTCCCCATTGCCTCTTTAGTTTGGCGTACAGGGCCACCCATGATCTGAGACCTGCTCCTCCTCCAGTCTCATCTCTCACTGCTCCCCACCTTTCACTCCATGCTTTAGTCCGGGTTGTAATTCCCTAAATGCACTCTTCACGTATCGTTATACCTTATATCTGATTATCCCCCAAGACTTAGCTCAAAAGCCTTCTGTAGCCCTTCTCCAGCCTCATTGTGAGACATGTCCCTTCCTTTCTGCCACTAGAGCCAGGAGTACCTTCATGATAACTCTTACCACAGTGTAGCTTGTCTGTCTCACATTAATTCTTTCCACATATTTTTTTTGAGTGGTACAATGTGCTGTGGACTATGCTGGGGATACAAACAAGGCTTTACTCAGCCTTGAGATGTTCACACTATTGGAGGGAAGCAGATAGTAAACAGCTCACCGTTAAGTCAGGGTAGTGAGTAACAATAGGATAGAAAGTTAGGGGAAGATGTGAGAGGGAGCAATTAATTCTATCTGTTGGTTTCAGGGATGTTTTCACAGGAGGGCTACAGCTAAGCCAGAGTTCCAGAATGGGTGCAAGCTCACCATGTAGGAAGAGGGGGAAAGGAATTCCAAGTTCTGAAAAGGAACAGAATTAAGTCTGTGGAGGTGGGGGAGGAGACTCTCCTTTCACAAGATAACCTCCTCTCAGTGCCTTTGTTTCTCCATCACCTTGAAGAGGCCTTGAGATGAGTTTTGCGTGTCTCACCATCACTACCCACCCCCACCCAGCGTACACACAGAACTACTCCACACTCTAGCTGCACTGTGCAGCTTGCCCACCGGTGCCATGCCTTTAGTCCAGATCGTGTCAGTCATGCCATTGCTCATGTTCGTTCTTCTCCTCAAGACCCTCTGTCCTTCTTCTCTACCTAGAACACTGTGTTTTCCAAGGCCCAACTCAAATGTCACTGCTTCATGAAACCCTCTCTGACCCTCAGCTACCCTGCACAGAATTATCTGCTTCCTTCTCTGGGTCCCATTTTCTTCAGGCTCCATGATAGCACTTACTACATCAGGTAACCATTGTTACCAATATCCTCCCGGCCTGGTTGTGAGCTACCTGAAGGCAGGACCATGCCGAGCACAGAACTGGCATGAGGCACACCCAGTCACTGCTGGTAGTTAATCGTTGGTTGAAGGAATCGATCAATAATATTAAAACATTCCTTTTTTTTTACTCTAAAGTAAGGTAGTTTTCATCAAAATTCCAAAATAAACATCAGCTTTGCTATGCTTAAATACATCTTGAATGATGCAGGTAATATTTTACATTCAAGATTTGATAAATATATATTAAATATATGCACAAAGGATAAAACTCCCTCTGGGCAGAGCTGGATGACCAACGGTTAAAAAAGGAGAATTAGGCAGGTCACATTCAGTTTAGCATCTTTACCTAACGACTTCACATACATTGCAGTCTGAAACCAGAAAGGCTATACAGAGTAAAATGAAGAGTCTTTAGCAAAATCTATTGTGTTTGCTACCAGCTTTGATTCCTCAGCTTTCCTAGCATCTGTGCAGTTCAGAGTAATATGTACTGTTTAAAAGGTGTTTAGATATAATAAATTAGTCATTTAAAAGTGTAATTAAATGTAACCATATTTCTCATAGCAAATTGGCTTTTGTAAGCATCTCTTGCTAAATAAATCAAGCCTACTGAGAAATCTATTGGCCTTTGACAGACAAATTTTTCAAAGTTTCTAACTTAGAACCAAATTCAATTAAAACAATACTTCACAACTTCTGTAGAAACCCAGCTACAAGTAATCAATTTTGGAGGGTTTCTGTTAGGAGTAGCCCTCATGAGATTTATTCAAAAACTGGGCTCTAGGCAGCCTTAGGAAGGGAGCTAGGAGTTGGTTATAATGGATTCTTAAGTGAATTTTATTTTGGTGAGAGATTTTGATTGACAGTAGCATAAAACCATGTCTTGGAGTGTGCGTGTGTCTGTGTGGTTTCTTTTTAAGGAAAAGAAATAGCTGTTAATGGAAACAGCTTCATGGGATGACCAAAAGAATATAGACTCTGCACCAGCCAACCTGGGTTCAAATCCCAGCTCTGCTCTTTACTGGCACGATCGCCTATAAAATTGGAATGCTAAAGGGCCTTCCTCGTATTGGCGTGGTGAGAATTGAATGAGTGCGTGGAGTGCATGTGCCCCGTGCCTAACAGAGTAAGCTCGAGCTGATTGTAATCTGCAGCTCCCCCAAAATTATTCCCCTCAAAGGGCCACTTGAGTGATCAGAAAAGATTTCTAGGACAGTGTCCCTTTTTATGACCTCTGAGGTCTGTACGGGTGGGCAGAGGTTCTGGTGTGCTTGTTTTTACATGAGCTTCGCCATTAAAGTCCAGACTGACCCCCGCAGAGCTTTACAAATGAACTCCTGCATTATGTCATTATTTCAATGTTTCGTTATTTCTCTGTCCTGCCTCTAACCTAGATTCAAGAAAAGCACGCCTGGTGTGCATGCTACCCTGTAAGTAGATGCCCCAGAGCCATCATTCCTTCAAGTTAAGAATTCCCGTAATCTAATATCAAGCACATACGTCTCCTCAGCTTATTTAAGAAAAAAAAAAAGCTCATCGCATGCATCCATCAGCTTGGCACACTGCAAAGCGTAATATTTGGAGAAAAACGAGGCAAAATGCACTTACTAAAATTACAAGCATATGGTGAGGTTCTCAGACAAGTTATTTATGGTCTTGATGAACCTTGCAACATTATTGCCATTTTCATGGGTTTTACATAACAACGTGAAAATATTATCTTTACCTTTTAACATGGCAGGATTATCTTTTCTCCTGTTCTTTTATTTAGCCTTCACTTCTCTCCCTTACACCAGAATGACTAGGCTGGATCACGGAAAAGCAAAGCTGCGTGCGCTCGGCGGTGGTTAATTTTATCGGAGTGCGGGTTTCCCAACACTAGTGCATAGCAACAGCGCCACCAAAAGGACGAGGTCCCAGGTTTCTAGGATCTGTTGTCATTTCTTTTGTCATCAGCATATCAGCATTTCACATGATGATGGCTGGCTGCTGTGTGTTCAAAATATAATATATTGGCATTTGAGACTATTTATAGTTAATAGGTATTAATTTGTTCCGATCTGCAGATTAATTAACTTCTCAGCTCTCTATGTGTGTAATGAGTTTTCTTTTAATCCTCCTGAACTAAAAAGGTAAGTAGTTGATTGTGCTAAGCTGCGGATAAATCAGATGAGCAGATGTTCTTATACCACTATCGAAATGATATACGAAAACTGACGTTAGAGTCAGTGTAGTGTCTGTGCTGTCAGGAGAAAGGATTGAAAGGTGGGAGTTGTTCTGTGTTTAGTGACTATGAAAGTCACCCCATGAAATAAACTTTACTCGTTCTCAGAGTAGTGTCTATTATGTCTTATGATTGTCCCAAATTTGGCAATGTGGCAAAGCTTATCTTCTTTAATTTTAAGTATATAGCAACATGGCGTAAGAATGAAATCAGATGAATTTAATTTATGATAAGGAGGTAGTCATATATTTCAAATAAATGTAATTCAGGACCACTTTTTTTTTCCTGCCATAAACTGAACTAAGTTTATCATATCTGTTATTCAAAAACTTAGGTGAACTCCTGAGGTGGATTAAGCACTGCAACCTAGTGGTTAAGAGGGTAACCTGTGCAATCAGACTGCCTGATCCTGGCCCCACTGTTTCCTGGCTATCAGGATCTTAGGTTACACCCAGTGTCTGAATTTCCTCTTCTGTTAGATGGAACTGTTAATTCTATGTATTTCATAGAATTGCTGTGAGGATCAAATGAGATAGTATCTATCAAGGATTTAACACAGAGTAAGTGTTCAATAAATAGCAGTTACTGCCATTATTATTATTGTCATAGTTATTTGTAGCTATCTGTTGCTATTTCTTTGCTGCTGCTTATGATATTCTCTAAATATGGCTGAATTCAAAAATCAATTTTATTGTTTTTAACTGGTGCTTTCACAGGATGTTACCTACCTAGAAATAGTAGAAATAGGTTTACTGCTGCATATATATAGAAACATGTCTATTTCTATTTGTGGATGGGGACATCTGGCTTCAGACAGCACATCATATTCCAACCCCACTCCCACCTCACCATGTTCAGAGAGCTTTTAGAAACCGTTAGGCACATTCTCATTCATTCTGATTTGGGCCTAGGAAAACAAAAAGACCTCATCCAAGTGAAAGCTCTGCCTTTTCAAAGCATCAAAGCAAAGTTATGGGAACTGAAATATCTTGAAGAAGCTTTTTAGCTGCATCATTGCCATAATCCCTTCCTCCCCCTCAGTCTGATTGTGAAATTGGGAGACATGTACAGAGAAAAGGAATTGGGGCCACCCAGTTTTGTATGGCACCCACCCCAAAGCAAGACTTGCATCCTTCCCCAACTGGGTCGTTAGCAGTTGGGGTTTATAAGTCAGTTTATAGCAGTTACATGTATAATAGCCATGATATGCTATTATTAAATTTAAGTTGGTTCTTGAATAAAATATTTTTGGGTAGGAACTTGGTAATTAGTTTTCAATAGTAAAAATTAAGTAAAGGAATCAGGTATTCAGACCGAGTTCCATTATCCTACAATTATTTTAAGTGAATTTTTTCATTTACCTTTCTATCTATTCATGTCAACAGTCCTTGCCGCTTCGAAAAGTTTCCACTAGTTGTTTTTTTATTTTCTAACACTTAAAAATCACTATGAATGTGAATCTTGTATTGGTTGTGTTCTTATTCACTCCTTGTATCATTGGATCTATAAACATGAGCAAACATGGAAAGAGTCAGTCTGTGTGGTCTAAGTGAGAGCTGAGTCACAAACGAGATGGGAGTCTGTAACCATTTGTGTTCCCCAGAGGATGGAGTAAATCATTTGGAATAAGGGGGGTTGGGGACAGGTGTAAATAGAATTAATGGTATAAAAATAATAAAATGGAAATTTGGTTGAATATCAGGACTATGATGCTTAGAGTTATGGAAGTGCCTCTGAAAGTAAATAGGGGGAGGTCCATTCACTGGAGGCCTGAGTACAGCTGAAATACTGGACGAATACCAATGAATGTATTATCAGGAGTATTTCTGCACCAGTGTGAGTTGGTCTGGAGAACCTGTTATGCCTTTGCTTACTAATTCCTTTTTGGCTGTGAAATAATAAAGCCTAAATCATAGAACTAAATTTCACTTGCAAATTGCTGAAAGTCTTATTTCTCCAGTGAAATCAAATATGTCTCATGACATGTTTTTCCTTCCACTGCCCTCCCAGCTGTAGTTTCTTATTACTGAAATGGTGATGCATTGATATTGCTTCAATTACCAAAGTATCTGAGTACAGTACATTTAAATTCATGGTGCATCACAGAGAGCCAGGCTAAGTGACTGTGATTATCAGACAGGGTGTTTGATTTAAATTAAAGGAACACTTCCAAGAGTGTTCCTTTATTTATGGAAGAAGACTGTTTACTGTAAAGAATTTCCATCACCCACATTGTTAATATTTTAGGACTCATCAAAATAAAAAATATGTGGAAAATAAGGAATACGTGCTCTATATGTACAGGCACCATTGCTACACTGTTTTCTTCGACTGGGGTCAGCACTGTGGGGCCACGTTATGGGTAGCAAAACCTCGACACCAACCCCATTGGGTAAGGAAGTAACTGAAGCCCTTTAAATGCAATTCAAAAATGTATACCAAATTCCAGTGGTTAATAAAATGAGAATGTTAGAAATTATTTTCATATTAGAATTTTATGGTTGTTAACCACATAAGAAAAATACTTTGAGCTGATGTTTGAGAATATAATTCTTATCAGATATAATGGAATTTTCTTCCTTTATAGAACAAAAGAAAAACATCATTTTTGTTAGAGGCAAGTGTTTAAGGCTTACATGGGATGTAGTTGTTTAGTTGTGTTTTGAGATAGACAGTAACTTAAAGGTTTCCTGTGAAGGGAACAATTGAGATTTCACATGTTTTTTAGGTATTGGCATCACTTTTTTCAGTTCGTTGATTAATGCTTGAGGTTTTGTTACACACTTGGGGGAAATGACCACCTTGACTTCGGATTTACATGTGTAATTCCATTAATGAAAATAGCAGTTATCCTTGCATTAGATATAACACTGAGATATAAATATATATTCTATATCTCTGGGTCTCTGGGTTATTGCCGATACTTATTATGCAGCATTAATTCCATGAGACAACTTGCTTTGTTTTGCTGTATCTGGAAATATCAACTAATGTTAACAGCATAAAAATTCTTCAAGGAGGAGGATTCCACACATGAACTTTAATTACACCATAGATGCCATTTAGTCCAGTGACTGGCCATTAAAATAACCTGTTTTCTCATATATACCACTTTGTTATTTGCTGGATCTCCAAAACAGCCTTTGACTCTTCTGTAAAATAAACCAGCCCCTTGTTGCTGATTCTCAGGAAAAAGTTACAGTAATGAGAATGTATATGGAAGCAAATGTAAGGAGCATTCTGCTGATTAGTACCTCACAAATGTTTTGTCTTTTACAGCCTGTCAACCAGGGTCGTCACTATCAGAAGGAAATGAATCCACCTTCTCCTTCTAACCCCCGGTAAGAATCATTAATAATCTAAATTTTTTTTTAAAAAAAGATTATTTAGAAGATTTTGCATTTTTCTTGGTTTCATGAAATTGTTTTCCAAAACTTCCAAAGAGCTTCCAAAGTTCTTTTCTTTAGAAATTCTAGTTCAGTCTGCTTTTCTTATTTAGTCTATGATGTAGTAGTTAACAGTCTACCTAGGTTTAATAGCACCTCTGCCTGTGGGACTTGGATCAAGTCATTTAACTCAAAGTAATTCAGGCATAATAATTACCTCATAGTATTTTGGGAAGGATCATATGAATTAATACCTGAAAAATTCTTAGCACAGTTCCTGGCACATAGCAAGCTCTCTCTTTAAGTGTTAATTTCTTCAGTATTATTTTATTTGCATAGATATTTCATTTTAATAGATAATTTGATGTTTAGTACATTGTAGGCATGAATCTTTTTTTGCATGACTTGGTGCCTTTAAATTTATCAAGATACTTATATGAATTCAAATAGCCATTCTCTTTTTTTATAAATTCAGAAGTTCATAGTCTCAAAATTATTTCATCATTTCCACACATGTCGTTGACATGGGAGTCATTTGTCAATATAGAAAAACCTCATTATTTTAGGCTCATTAGAGACAAGCAAATCTGAATTTGAGTTTTGAAATATAAGTAGTGTTATATGGCTTTCAGTATCACTTTATTACTATTTATTAAATACTAGGAATTAATTGAAAATCAGTCTATCTTGAGCTCCACCCACAGGATCTTAGTTATTGGAATGCATCTCATTATCAAGCTCTCTCACCTGGTCTGTGGGTTGTCCGCTGTCCCGTGGAATGGACCAAAACACCAACAATAGCATTGTAGCTCTGGCTCCAGGGTGTGGTATCTGTTACACAGTGTCTGAATTAAGACTCGTTTGCTGCACATCAAAAACAACTTAGTATTAAAAGTGGGGGAAACAGAGAGAGGGAGGGAGGGACAGGAGGGATTTGTTAAATAAGAATACAGGACTGTATCCTGGAACCTGAGGGTAGCCAGGCCTCAGGAGGGGCCTGAAACTAGGAACTGGAAGGCTGAGAGGCAGCCAGGCAGTATCCTCGCTCCATCTCTGCTTGCTTCCTCCTGTCTCCTCCATTCTTCTCTCTAAACATCAGCTTTCTCTGGTTCCCAGTCACATATGGCTGTCTGACAGCTTGGGTTTATATATTATAGTGCAAAGTACATGCCGAGGCTGACAGGTTATGTCTGAATCCCAATTCCTGCTTTCCAGGAGACAGAATGTGATTGGCCTAGCTTGGGCCAAGTATTCACTTCTGGTCCAGTCAGCAGTGAACAACCAACCAAGCCATGTAAAACTAGCGTGGCTGCCAGGAGACCACCTACATGGTTTATAGGACTTTCAATGGGGCCCAGAATATTCATGACGTAGGTAGAGCAAATGTTCTTTATTAGTAATCTCTTCTAAGTGTTCCTGGTCTATGCACTTGATCTGATCATTCTTTCATGTTATCTAGTAGGGGGAATTGTCACTATCATAAATAGATATAATAAGGAGTTCAAAATTAAGATTATAATTTCAGTGTATATAAAAAGGTGTTTTAACATTCCTAAAATCAGTTCTCTCTTGATATGTGAATATGTCTCTTTGCAATCTTGCAGCTCCTCTAGATTTAACCAACAAACTATTTTTATCTACATATGAGTAAACTTTCAAGTCCACATTAGAACCAAGTCAGAATTTGCAGTCTGAACAAATGAAAGTAATGGTAAGATATGTTAGAAAGTGGAGGCTTTTGTTTCAATAAACGGAGAAAGGGGACCTAATTCTCATCTTAATTCTGCTACTCACCCCAGTATATGATCTCAGGCAAGCCACTCAATCTGTCCAGACCTCATCTAATTATATGAACACCCTCATGTGTAAAGGAAAGGAATTGAGTTACATGCTCTCTGAGGTCACTTCCAGCTTTATGATTCTGTAACAGTAATGAGACTCATTACAGACTTTACATATGAAAACCAGTTCCACTATTGGAGGGAACACTGCCCTATATAGAAAACATACCTCATAATATTGGATTAATTAATTAATTAATTAACATTTAGATGTGGTAGTATGTGGCTTTAAATAGCTCTTTTAAAATTTGATTTCCAAAGATAGAATATAAGAAAATTCACCAACTAAACAGATAGCTTATTTTACTTAACCAATTAAATGTTCACTCATTTAGGAAAAATTAATTTACATTTTTACATAATAAAATAAAAAGCCAAATTCTAAAGCAAAAAATAAAATGCCCCCAATCCCATTTGTCAGCAAGTTATCCAGCAGTTTCCTAGAAAATTATTGTATAGCTGTTCAGAAAACCTGCAGATTATGTGGCTTGGCTCTTGGCTCATAAATCCAATAGCTTGGAGAATTGGCAGAAGGGCATTATTGGGCCATAAATAAAGAAAATGATAAAATTATGAGATCAGCATAGATCATCACATAAAAATGGAATAAATTGGGGCCGGCCCGGTGGCTTGGCGGTTAGGTGCGTGCGCTCCGCTGCTGGCGGCCCGGGTTCAGATCCCGGGCGCACACCGACGCACCGCTTCTCCGGCCATGCTGAGGCCGCGTCCCACATACAGCAACTAGAAGGATGTGCACCTATGACATACAACTATCTCCTGGGGCTTTGGGGGAAAAAATAAATAAATAAAAATAAAAATATTAAAAAAAAAATGGAATAAATTGAATCATGTAATACGCGTAATTTAACTTAAAATTGAGAGCTATGATTCTTAAGATTTGTATTTATTATATTTCTTACAAATAGTGTCTCATGCGTTAGACCCTAAAATACAGAACTTTAAAGTTAAAAGATACTGATAATGCATATGAAAAAAATATATGAAAGGAAAAGATAAGTCTCTAAGTCTGCCCCCTTAGATAAACGAGCATCTAACCTGAATCCTGGATTAATAGTTTGGCATACAGAGGCTCTGAACAATACAAGAGAAGCAAGTAGGCTCTTGATATCCTGAATTAAATGTGGTTGTGATCAGAGTAACACAAAAGTGGTGGGGGTGTATATGCAGGTTCATACAGAAGAGAGCATGATGGCGCCCTTTGGGAGGTGAAATGGCCACATTAGCTTCAGTGAAATATCTGCAGCTACTCCCGAGACCTAAGAACCTAAGATTATAAAATTATGTATACTCATACCCACGTACGTACATATTTAGAGAGTCAACTTTCAATTAGCTTCATTAATGTAACAGAACAACCAGTATCCCCAGAGTCTTTCATTTACATTTTATTCTGAAAAGATTTTTGTTTCTGCACCATAATTACCTTCTTAGTTTTATGTGTTTATGGTTAAAGGTAAAGAGAGTAAATAGTATGCAATCCACAAAGCAGGCAAATTTGGGTTTGAAGAGTTGACTCTAGGATGAAAATAGCTAAAACACTGCATATATTCACATATTGTTTTCCTCAGAGTAAAAGAATTCACTTGCATTCATAGGGCAATGCTTGACATTGATTGGAGGTGGGATACAATGGTAATCATTTCCTGAGAAGTTTATAATCTGGAAATTGAAATACACATAGTTCGCTTCATCATATTCCCCTGTGTGTCTAGGTTTGCAACAAAGCCATTTCCCCTGCATTGTTAGGCGTGGGTGTGATGTTTTCCCTTATTTTTTGCCTAACATACTGACTGATATTTAGGCAGCATCTCAGATGCTGGGGCCCTTGCCTCCAGTGTTCACCCACACTGCCTCCTGGGGCACTGACAGCCTCTATGACAAGGTGCAGAAATGGCTAACATAATCTAATGCAATTTAGAGGAGTGTTGGGTAGGAGGAAACAATTTCACAGTTCATTCATGTTGAGAAATGTTTCCAGCATGTAAACTTACACACTGCCAACAGAGTAAAATGAATGCTGTTTGCGGCCTTAAGTCATTTGTTTTAAAATGCCGTCTATTGGTTTGTGGGGTTTAGAGCTGTCCCTTAGGCACATCTATTTATAGGTTTATGTAGATTCTTCAGAACGGCTCAAGATATTTTTGCTCAGGAATAGGTTTTATAAAATAAGCTGTGGTTACATTCTGGTTGTCTGCTTATATGGATGGAGTCGATAACCAGTCTTTCACGTGATGATTATACTTGCTATTTTTACAACTCATTGGAAAATTGGGGGGAGGAGGGAATGTAGTCAAAGGCTCTGTAAGGTTCTAAATGCTTATGGAAATAAACGATATAGAAAATAATTCTAGAATGCCCGAACAGTAACGAATGGCATGGTTTTCTAAAGTGTTTGCTTTATGACTTATCACTTATCTGCAGTTTTTTAAATGTCATTGCAGATTGTGTTAGGTCTTGAATCCTTTGCAGCTTTGCCACGTGTTTGTGTGATATAAACATACTTATAACTATAATTATCTGATAAAGCCCTGCAGACTTTGACAAATGATTAATAACCACCGACCTCAGTTCACGCTGGCTCAGCTGCCTTGACTGAGGCAAGCTGGCCTGTCATCGTAACCCACAAACACTACTCTGGACTGATCACAGTGGCTTCATTTTTCTTTTCTCTCTAGTTGTTGGGACTCAGCCCAATGGGCTTCTCCTCTATTGCTTAAGCTTTCGCTGCTGCAAAACAAAAAAGAGAAAAAAAATTTTTTTTTTTAAATCACAAATAAGACTATTTTTTTATGGTCTTAGTCAGATTGAAAAACATCAACAACAATAAACTCTTTAAAAAATTAACTTAAAAATGTTAGTTGTAATTTCAGTTATTCATTTTCTTTTTTTTTAACTTTTTTTTATTGCAGTAACATTGGTTTATAACATTGTATAAATTTCAGGTGTACGTCATTATACTTCTATTTCTGCATAGATTACATCATGTTCACCACCTGAATACTAATTACCATCCATCACCACACACATGTGCCTAATCTTCCCTTTTGCCCTTCTCCCTCCCCCCTTCCCCTCTGGTAACCACCAATCCAATCT